AGGGGGCACGTATAGGGAACATGGACCCCGGATTAGCATGTCTGATGCAGAAGTTGCCATCATCTCCCCACCCTCTTAATGGGACCTACTGGGGGTAACAAAGCCCTTTAGGCAGGATGGTTGCGTTAATGATTTTAGGGTAAACTTCGCATATAGTTGCACCGATTGAATTGAAGCTCTGCTTAAAGGTATGAAGCCGGGGAGGGGTGGCTGGAGACTGGGTCCTGGAGGCTGGTGATGATGAAGCTTTTCGCCTGTTGTAGCCTGCGTGACGCCAGCTTGGGTTGTCGTGCCTGATGGTTCCCATCTCACAGCTCTGTCTGTAGCTCGTACGTGGGTTTTTGGGGATCCAGGAAAGCCTCAGCCAGCCTGGCCCGGGGGGCTTTCCTCCTGTCCCACGATCCCTGCACTTCCAAAAACCTCACCAAACTCTGCTGTGGTGGTGCAGGACTTTTTAGAAAGGCTTTTAGGAGAGAGCAGGCTGACCTGGCCCTGGGGCAGGGGTGCTAAGCGTTCGGGGCTGAGCTCCTCCCCCCAGCCGTCGTGCCCGGTGGAGCCCCTGCGCGGAGCCGCGGCAGCCGGGGACCGACCATTGCTGCGGGTGCTGTGCTGGGCACGCTGCTGGGGCTTTCCTGTCCCCCGGGGTGGGATGGGTGGGATGGCTGCAGACTGAGGAGGGGGGCTGATACTGTTTAGTTTGTGTGGAGAGAGTTTAATAGTAAGCAGAGCAGTAAGCATAGGCCTGCAGTACTGAAAAACCCGTTCTTTGACTTCGGGGGGGAGCTGGATTGGGCTAATACTGTGATGGAAATCCTTCCTTTGGCTTTGCTGACCGTTGGATTAAGTCCTGTATGATGCTCCATACTGTGCTTATCCCTGTCCGGAATCCATAAAACACCCACAGCTGAGACAACATCCAGGGCTGACAGGAGCCCGTATCTACTCCCTAAGATCTTTTGATGCATGAAACAAAGTGCCAGTGCGCACAATGATGCACGATGTTCTAGGTGCAGCACCAGTACCTCAGTTAAAGGAACTGCTGCGATGGCACTGCCCCTTGATGGGGGAGGACCCACATCCAGCCCCGCATCCCCATCAGCCCCGCAGAGCGGGGCGAGCACAGGGGCTTTGTGGCCCCGGGGGTCCCGCACGTGCTCAGGGGTCCCGCTTTTGCTCACCACCATCCCACAGGCAGCATCTCCAGCCAAGCTCCCCGCTCAGGGCAGGGCGAGAGCTGTCGTAGCGGCACGACTCTGCTCCTGCGAAGGGCACAGGCTCTCCGAGTTGCCACCACCTCGTACCCGTGCTCCAGCGTGGGTCTCTCCCACGGCGTGCAGACCTTCAGGAGCAAACTGCTCCAGCGTGGGTCCCCCATGGGATCACAAGTCCTGCCAGCAAACCTGCTCTGGCCTGGGCTCCTCTCTCCACGGATCCACAGGTCCTGCCAGGAGCTTGCTCCAGCGTGGGCTTCCCACGGGGTCACAGCCTCCTTCAGGTGCCTCCACCTGCTCTGGCGTGGGGTCCTCCATGGGCTGCAGGTGGAATCTCTACACCCCCTCATCCTCCCTCCATGGGCTGCAGGGGGACAGCCTGCTTCACCATGGTCTTCTCCATGGTTGTGTCTTGACCCAGCGAGCAGGTGGGGAACCAGCAGTCCGAGGCAGTGACGGGGAGGTGGGTTTGCACGAGGTTGCAGCAGAAGTGGGGGGGGCGCTTTGTTGCAGGGTGGTTGGGGAGCAGCACTCATGCTCAGGAGCTTCTGACCTCCAGTTCTGCATCTGATCCTGGCTCCCTCTGTGAGGAAGAATGTCATTTGGGGAAATGGTTTCCCAAGCCAGGTACTTGAGCTCTGGGTGGCTGCTTTTAGGCTGAGATTGAAGGGTGGGGAAAGAGGAAGGACCACGTCCCCTCTGGCACCAGAAATGAAACCCTCTTCCAAACAAAACCCAACCCTGAGAGTGCAGAGGTATAAAATTGGGGCTTACATCCACCCCTCTGGCTGGGGTGGGTCTGGTGCCTGAGGACACTGCTGCCCCATATTCCTCCAGCTGCAGTCATGTCAGGATGCTGGTGGGATGCTGGCCCATCCGGGGAGCCACTCCGGCATGGGAATGGTGCCTTCCGCTGCTGCTGTCGCTCAGGGATGCGAGTTGGAGCCGAGCCTGGGGTGTGCAATGCGGCTCCGAAATAACCGCTTGGATGGAGTTGGGGACCTCGACACCTGCGGCACCCCTCCGGCTCCTCCCCGGAGCTCCATGCACGGTTTATTTACCCGGTGTCAGCGCCCGGGATGCTGTGGGAGAGAGTTCTCAAAGCACTGGGAAGGCTTAGACTAAGGCTTGTAATGATTTTAGTGGGATTTGGGTAGTTACGGATGCAAGTCCATAAGGTATTTTGGAAAAACGTGTCAAAAATGAGGTGTAGAAGTGGCAATGCTGATGTTTGGCCTATATGAGATTCTGAGTTTTTTAAATTTTTTTCTGATTAAGTATGATGTTTCCCTGGCATGAGTCCAATTCATCCTCCTTCCCTAATGGAAAAAGCAAAGCTAAATGTCTTGCTTTGCTTGCAATAGAATGAGCTGGACTGGATAAATTTAACTCTTTTCTTTGAAAATTCCTTCTCTCCTTGGATAGGAGTGTTTGAAAAAAATGAAATGATGACCTCATGCTTTTGTGCTTTTTTTTAAAAATTCATTTCTGTTTCAGCTGATGTTTGTTACGGCTCCTATTAACAATGTTTGAACCAAAAACAAGATCCAGATGTGATGATTTTATTGATGCCAAATTGGGTTTTGGTCACTGAGCTTGCATTTGGATAATGAATTTTTTTCTTTTTCTTTTTTTTTCCCTTTTTCAGCCTGATGGCACCAGCAAGGAGTGTGTCTTCATTGAAAAAGTCCTAGAAAACAACTATACGGCACTGATGTCAGCAAAATATTCAGGCTGGTATGTTGGATTCACCAAAAAAGGGAGGCCACGGAAAGGGCCCAAGACCCGGGAAAACCAGCAAGATGTACATTTTATGAAGCGGTACCCAAAGGGGCAAGTGGAGATACAGAAACCTTTCAAGTACACAACAGTCACCAAGAGGACTAAGAGAATACGACCCACCAACCCCAGTTAAAAATAGACAAAAACAGTGTCACAATAATAAACCACAAAAGAAAAAAAAAAAACTGCTCCAGAGGAATATTTTTACATTAAAAATAAGGAAGAAGCTCTATTTTTGTACATTGTGTTTAAAAAAAAAATAAAAATAAAAAAAATTAATAAAAGACTAGATGGCAAACGCTGGGGAAAAGCTGTTAGGGATTTATTGTGACTTGAAAAACAAAATGAACTGCTCTATTTAAATTGACTTGTTGTTGTTGATGACACACAGGTGCTTATTTCGCTTTTTTGGAAAGGACAACTTTTCAAGCATATCCCCAGAGGAGGAAAAAAAAAAGTAATTATTAAAAAATAAAACCAAAGAAAACCAAAGTTCTTTCCCAAAGTTACTGAGACCCTGCCCCGAAAAGTGCCGGTTTTGCAGTACTCTAT